AAAATCTAAAAATTCAATGTGATCACTACGTTCAAAACAAATTAAAAAAATAATGTCATAGTCTAAACCGCCCATTTCTCAAGTAGGTATACTCGTTTTTTTAAGACAGAATTATTAAAACGCAGAATTCAGTTCTTTTTAATTATTGAACCTAAAAGAGTTATCCTACAAGTGGCTTCAATTATTGATTCGCATTGTAAATTTAACTTTACCCCAATTTGACCATTAGTTTTCAACATAAGAGATCCCATCGTCAGGCGCTAAAAATGACCACCCTGTATACTTATCTACCATCTATTCCTATCGCAACTTTTAAACCCATGCAAACATAACGGCTAGAAAAATTTGCGGAACATTTTTAAGCGACCTTTAACCATGAAAGGTAATGGATCTACATCCTCGTAATATCAATGAGAGTAACAACCAATATTTCTTCATTTTGCGTGGAAGGGGCGGAAAACGGTTTTCCGGCTTACCGGCGTATTTTACGCAATTTTTTTCCAATATTAATTTAATTAATTTCATTTGAATAGCGATTTGCCGAGTGCCGACTAACTGAAGTTTTGCCGACTATGGTCACGCGTTAGGGGGGGTGTGACCCCCCCCCATACCCCCCCCATCCATCCGGCCCTGATGTACAATAAACTGGGCAATTGTTGGCTGCAAAGTGTGTATGAGAATGTTTTGCTTTCTTTTTCACGAATGTCTGAAGTAAACTGGGCCAGCAATAAGAAAGCTAAGGTCAGATCTTTAATGTAAAAAGAGAATAAGTAATTATGAGGCAAAGAAAGGATGGAATTTTATGTATGGGATGTAATCGTACTGTTAGGCTAATTGATTTGAAATGTAAGAGATGTTTCCCATTCTAATATTTTTTTTTTAATCAGTAACCCTAATCATTGTTTGGGAAACCGGCAATAATAATAATAGTATCATTGAAGTTTCAATGGGACTCGTAGTCGGCAGTTTGATTTTAAATGCTTCAGTTTAATAAAGCAAGCCAACCACCACTTTATTCCAGAATGGTACACTCAATTAAATTTTAATTCCTTTTAAAAGTGAACAGTCTTTTCTTAGAACACCTGGCTCATGACAACTAGTCATGAGCTCTCTTTTGAAACCGGCAATATCCTTGGTGTTACAATTCATTTGCTAGGATGAATTTTCAGGACACTTCTAAAAGAAACAGGATTTCCACATGTAATGGTTTATTTTCGCTTTTGGTTCACTGTCACTGTAGTTAATTGATTGAGATTTGCTGTAATACTTAAATTGTAACCGTCATTGCGTTCACTGGTGTCACCTGTGCTTTTCAATTTCCTTTTCAGGAAGCATTCCTTTACAGTAAAGTCACGGGGCACGTTGAAGCAGAGTGCAGAATTAATAATTCATGTGGGTCTAATTGCATGAATCATTGCCTATTCTTGTGCATAGATTCAGTATCATTTGGTAGCGAGATTAAGCACTTATCTCTGGTTTGGAGGATATATTTTTGATGTATCAATCTATGATGGTATGGTACGCGGGGTAGAACATGTGAGTAATTTTAGGGCTGAAGTATAGGGTTACAATCAAGTTGTGGGAATGGCTACCGAATAGCCGCATTATCTTATTAATATACGTGTATAATTGATAAAATAAGTAATAATTAATTGAATTTCCTGAGGATGTGATAGCGATTACTTTCGCAGAGATTTAGATCATTTTTTAATTTTTCTATCAGTCCTCTTCCTGAACTTCCCCATGTTTTGCTCACTTTATACAACTTCTTCACCAATTCCACATTATTTTCTTTCAATTTTATTTAAATATCTTCAGTCACAACTTCCTACATGTCAACAAACTTCTTTTGCACAATTATATTCTTTTCTTCAATTTTCTTACCGAACTCCATCTCAGTCAATTTTCTATAAAGACCGTCTTTGTAATAATAATATAAATAAATAAATAAATAAAGATCTGCAGGAAACCTTGGTGTAGTGGATTAAAAGCTCAATTATAGCCATGTACGAATGTGCACATTTTGTAAGTAGCTACTAGTAAGTACAAAAAGAAAAGGATAGATTCTCAAATGTTTCTTTGGAAATTCTTGATAGATATATGTACAGACTCTTCCGGTACACCTTAAAGCAGATCCTATATCAAGGTTCTTCAAAATTTAAATGTTATGGTCACAGAATTGGAATAATTCAGCGATTGTACAAACATTCTTCAGAATTTTATCACAGGTTATTAAAGTCACGTAAACGTTATTTTGGTGTCAGCACCTTCGAAATGGTTGGGCCATCCTGTACGTGGTATAATTTTAATTTTTAGGTGCAAATCTGGTGTTTTTTTACGAATAAGGACAAAATTGGTTTATTTTGCTTGAATTTGTTTTTCCGTATTTGGTTTTCCATTTAGAAATTTTTGTTATGCGTAATCTTCTTGTTTAGATTTTATCCAAAAGAGTTGTGGTTCGGATTACGGTTACAGTAGTAGGAATTTCCGGGTTCCTGGTCGAAAAAATTATGTAGGACGGCTGTACTCAATGAGTCTGTTTTCGCTCAAATATTTTCAGTTTTATATACGACCTCGTAGTTTATATTGATTTAGCTGTTCGCAAAACTTGCTGTAAACTTGATTTGTTTTTGGAATTATTTTTTTAATAATAAAATCCTTTACAGTGTAAATTGTCTTTTATAAAGGAAACGACATAGGACCCTATTCCCAGAATTTGCTAAATAGTGCAGAACGCATTTTCAAAACTGCGAAATATCATATGAACTTGTGTACACATTTTTTGAGTTACGTTACATAATTAGGTAAGAGGTCTTATTTAAGCAAAGAAAGTATTGAGTATGTCTTACAGCAAATTTAATCCAAAAAAATCAAGTCAAGAACAGCTAGAACATCTCATTCCAAATAACAATGTGTGAATCAACATCCGGTGTGACGAGGGATCAGTATTTTACTTGAAAAAGGTTCATGGAATTCATAATATTTCAGAAGATGCATTACGATCGACTTAAGCCAATAGTAGTTTTCCATCAGTTCCAGGGGGAAGTAACCCCAAATTTCGAAATTTAATGGCACGCCCTGTATGTTTTTACTCTTTTTGATTCTATAGACAAATTTGAACGTAACTCCATTCGAAAATAATGGCCATGAATGTATTACATTCTTTGCGCTCGTAATTCACATTTTGTATTCTTGCTCTTGTAGAGCCACCTAGTTGTTTCGTTTATAATCCACTAGTTTTAAACGTAAGTTAATTCTTGTAGTAAATTAGCATTACATTAGAATGTTCCTTGTTTCGCCGACGGAGGTCGTGCAGAGTTTTCAGAAGAATACATGCCTTTACGGTTACTCGACGATTCTTGTCAGCCTTCTTGATGTTGTATAACTTTAGCAAAGTTTTCTCTTGTTATTTTGCTTTCGACTCTTTGCTGATGCATTTACGGATATATTTTACAAGTTCTAAGGCCGTTTTCGGTATGTTAACAAAAATTACGCATTTACCTTTTGACTTTGAAATAATCATTTTTAGGCTTCTACTTCTGGTTTACTCTTTCTTCATTATTTATTACTTATCTGATTGTGCTTTTTACATTTTTAACATTCCTGAGTGGAAACCGCTGAATTTTGGATTTTCTCAATATTGCACAAGGAAGACTCATTTGCGAAGATCCACCGCCATCTTAACGGGTCAAACACGCAATAGATGAGTAGACCTTATCGACAGAATCTGGTGAAATGAACTCCACTTACATCGAGGTTTATATCTGGAGATTTCGATATTTGTTCCGGAATTGTAACTGCAATTATAACGAAACGGTCTGTCTCCTCCTCCTCCTCTGGGCTTTTAAAAAAATTCACTTTGCACATCATAAAGGATTTCCACGTTTTCCGAACGTAATCAGTGCCTAAACTACCATTTTGACACCTTTTGATTCAAAATTCATGCAGTTAACAAAAATGGAACAAGCCTACTTGTCCGGCATTGAGACCTAATTAGAATTCATCAGTAAGGACAATGGCATCTCCTAATTCCGCTTAAAAGCAAGAAAGATAGATAGATAGACCTTAACATTAGAAGCAACACAAGACAAGAACCACAGCCATCAACAAACCACAACAAGAAGTCATCAAGTTCCAAAATGTTTCACCAACTTAACCGATATCAAATTAACCAAGAAAGATAGATGGTAGTTTGTGTGTTACAGTAATGAACCTTTTAAAGAAAGAAGTCAATACCTTGAAAACTTTAGCAGTAGTTTTGTCTCCAACTCTTGAGGAGTTACTATGAATCCTACAAGGTCGTAAAGGTACAACCTTCCGTTTGGAATTTATATGACTTGTACAGTCGTTGAAGAGCATGCTATAGAGTAAAGAAAGAAGGACAAACAGCGGACCATACGCATTATTTTTAATGTAAATGAAAAGGGCGAGTGCGATCGCATATTTTATTAGATCCGTTTATTACGACAGCTGTTGTATGGTGGGTCTGTCATTAGTTCCACTACAATAATCAGCAATTTACCGAAGCATGTTTACCTCAATTTAATACGAAAACACTTGTTAACATTTTTAGCGTTCCGCTAACGGCCATGTCCAACCACAGAAGTGTTTGTAAAATAATCATCACGCGGAAACTGACGGGCACAACAGCGAACGGCGCATCTCTTTGATTGGTTTGCATAAAAGGTTCCATGTAATAAAAACGCCAGTCTTCCATCTGAATAAGCTACGTGAGCTTTTCAAACAAAAAATAATCCGACGGCCGTGTAGACTTCGCCAAAGATTACTTTCCACATAATGTGGTAAGCCTGATGCTTGGGGCAATAGCTTTATCAGAAAAAAAAGTTCTCATCTCCCACCCCTATAACCTACGCATTTAATTAAACATGTAATAAAGGTGTGCATATTAGTGAAAAGTGTAAAGCGAAGATTTGGAAAATTTACATAATTCACGCGCGCGCAAATTCACGCCAGATCTAAATTTTAATAATGATACTAACCTGGTATGGGTAAAGCTCGGGCGCGAACATTTCACAGGCATCGAGGGTGCGTACCAAGGCGTGCTGACTGCGGCTCACGGTTTCCTTGTTATACTCGCCTGTTCCTGCAAAGAGAAATCCCTTGATTCCCTTCGTAGAAAAATATTTCTGTAGTAAAACATTTCTAAGCAATAAGGAATGCGGACAAAAATGCTTAAAGGTGGTATAAAAAGAATTTCGTTTTCTATTTTCCTCGAATTCTTTTGCTTTTGTTGATAAATTATGTAAAATTTAACTTTTTCGAGGGAAAAGTTAAAAATATTGTTGCGGTTATTTTAAATGAGCGAGAAAAATTTTAAATCTCTGAGGGACGAGTTTTGTTGAACATAATTATAAATTCACCACCCCCCCTAGTTTAAATTGTATAATGTTGGGACAATTAAGATACCTATCTTCAAAAGCGTTTGTTATTTTTAATTTTTTAACTTATTCAGTTATTTAACTCTTCAGTCCCAAAGGCCTGGATACATAATAACTGATTATGTAATTTCTAACTCTGCAAGTTCTGATAACGTTCCTTTTCAGTCTTACTGTTTCCTATCCGCATAAAGCAGATTGGTGACCACGCATTAAGAAGCTTTAACCCCGAAATCAGGGCAGGGTTTGTTAGTCCAGTGGAAGGTAGAGATATTCACCACGTTCCTAAACTGCAGTGAAGCATTTAGCAAAATAGAAATAGTTTAATGCTGGGTATTGCTGCCAATTAGACATTTTACGTACATGTACTGTTAAATTGTTTCATTACAACTGAAAGCTAAGAACTAAGGTTTAGTATCTCTACCATAATTTGCACCCTACCCAGCCCTTTGATAGTTACAAAGTTGGTTAATACATAATCGAATTAAGAAAACTACACCTTGATATCTGAACATAATATCAATCAATCCTTACTACACGCTAGCTTTGCAAAACTTTTTCCAATTAAACTCCCCCCTTATCCAGCATCACACTTCTACCGTCATTTCCACCTCCGTACAGTTCGATGGCATGTCGTGTTCTATGTCCTCTCCGTATATTCTAGACTTTCTTTCTTCTTCTTGTCTCCATTCCTCTTTCCTCTCTGTTCATTTCAACATCTGAATCTATCGCCAGGGTTTTAATACTTTTTCTTCCTTCCCACACATATTGTTGTAACTACAGATCCCTTTTTACCAGCTCACCTTCCATCTTTCTCCTACTCCTCTCATCTTTTCGATATCCGTATCCTCATTTCATTCGTAATATTTCCCCCTCATTACTTCCCATATTCCTTTTGCAGTCATCCCCGTTATCAAGCATTCCTTCAGCAATTTGTTTTCTCTATCTCCACTTTCCTCGAGTCTTACCGCCTTGCGCCCCAACGGCATCTTTATTTTTTCCATTTTCGCTTTCTAGTCTTTCCTGCCTCCATTTCCATCCTATTTCCCTTTTCTTTCCACCCCCTTATCACCAAATTTCATCATCTTCGATTTTTCTACATTTAGTTCCATTCCTTTCCTTTCCCAATACATTTCCATTCTTCCCAACATTTCCTTCATCTGTTCCACCTGTTACCGGGATCACTGAGCCGTCCGTGTATGCCAGAGACCACATCTTTCTTCTTTCCACCACTATCCCTCCACATTTTCCTTGTCTTAATACTTTTTCCTTGTCTCCTAAGTAGGGATTAAATAATTTTAGGCATCCCTGTCTAAGACACATCAGACTTCTTCCCTTCTATTCCTACGTTCAATCGTGTCTCTCCATATACTTCCTTGATTCTGTCCTTTAACTGCTTGTCAATTTTCCAAACTTCCATACTTTTCCCTTTCCACTGTGTCGCTTGCCACTGCCCAAAAGTACATGAAAAACGCAAACACTTTTCCGCCCTTCTTTTTTTAATTACTTGTCCGTCAATCTGTTTAATATATATATACAGCCGATCGTTCCCCTCCCTTTCCAGAACCCAATTTGTGTTTTCACTAACATCCTCTTCTTTTCCGTGTCTCTATGGTCTTTCGTTCAGTATCTATACGCCTCCGTAGTCATTATAGTAATTCTCCTATTCCCACACAATCTTTGTTCTCTTTTTTGAAGACCGGCACTAGTACCCCTTCCTTCCATTCTTTGGGTAAACTCCTTCTTTTCTATATCGTGTTTACTAGAATTCTCATCCTTTCCTTGACTATATCTGTGGCAAAAATCTAAGTCTTATTACCTATCTCGTCTCTCCCTGTTATTTATCACGTTTCAAAAGTCTATTCCTTCCATGTATGTTAAATTCCCGTCCATATATCCCTCCATATTTCCGTTTAAAATTCTCCAACCTCTCTTTTCTGATAATTCCAGTAATTCCCTCTTTGTTGCACCCTTTATATCTGGAGTTCCTCTATCCATCTCGACCTGTTCCTGTACTGGCATTAATGACTCCCCCCCCCCCCCATCAATATTAGCCTCTTCCTTCCAAGTTTCAATTGATCTACCATATTTTCTACTTCCTTCATACCTTCTCTGTTGTATATCGTTACGGCATTGTCACTCTCATTTTCTTCCTCTCCACTTCTACTCGTTTGACTTGTATTCCTTGCTCCCCTCTCCATTCCTCTCTCCATTCATTTATCTTTTTTTGCCCCTGTTAATATACCTCCTTTTGCTCTTCGCTTTAAATTATCCCTATTCGCAAATTGGTTCTTCCATGTATTCATTTAGGATCATTTCTCCCAATTCTTTTCTTCTATCCATGATTGCACCATCTTCTACCATTAGTTTACCACATCTCCATCTCCAGTTCTTGCCCTTTCCTCTTTCCCTTTCCGCAACCTCCCTCATTTCTCATTGTGCGCTTTCTTCATATATTAATTCTTCATCTATGAATATCCCACCGAATTTCCCTTTCCCCTCATAACCCCACTCTTCTTTTCTCATGTTAGTTCCACGATATCTACCTTATTCCCCCTTGCTTCAAACGTTCTCGTCTCTTTTATATTCGGCTCTACGTGTAGGTTTTCTGTTAGCTATTCTTCCGTCCTTTCTCTCTTCCCTATTTGTTACCTCTACCTTTTTCCCTTTCTTTTCTCTTATTTTGTTCTTCGAGTTTAGTTATCCTTTCTGTAAGTTCTTTTTTTTTCGTTATCTCTGCTCTTCCATTCTCTTCATTTCTTCCCTTACTCATCATATTTGCTCCAGCATCTTCTCGCTGATTTTATCTATTTTCCCTTTTAGTCCAGGAAACGAAACTTAAAATAGTATAAAACCTGGCAATTTTTTCAAAATGCATTGATTTGCACGAAAATATGGGTTAAGTTCAATTTACCCTCTACTTCAAAATCTATATTGTGCCGATGGGCGCCCTGTATATACATTACAAAGTGTAGAGGTGCATGGAATGGGTGTAAGTGTGTATAAAAGTTTCTATGTGTAGTATACGAAATGTAGACCGGTCATGTGGATAATCATGCTCCGATTTGGGCTTTCGGAATATTTCGAAAAAAATTATGATTCGTTTTTTACTCATAACTCCTTTCTTTTTTATGATAGAAAGTGTATTAAAAAAGCCATTTTGTAGGTTTTTGCAAAAGCTACAAGGCTGTTTACATCAAATCCCTTTAAAACTCTTAGTTTTAAAATGAAGTGAGCATAAAGGGCTAAAACAAGGTAGTGCTCCCATATAAACACACGCGTTAAACGTCTATATCTCACTTAATTTTTGTCGTACAGAAAATTCCCGGTGAGGAAAATGTTTGCAATTAAAAATGCTACAATTGGATGTTTAGCAATTTTTACGTATCTCCAGTTGTTTTCTAGTTATTTTGAAGAGAAGGACGTTTTTCACAAAATTGCAAAAATTCGTTTTTCACTTTTAGCTTGAATTATTTCAAAATGAAGTCTTCTAGACTGGTCACACTTCTAGAATGTACTAATAATACGTAGTTAGAGAAAACTGGAAAAGGGGAAGGTCTAATTTTAATTAGGCTGGTAATTAGGGGTTGCTTATGCTGATTTTTTCGCTGAAAAAAGTACGGATCTACCTTATTTTCATTGTAACTCACTTAATTTTTATGCCAAAGTTTACTTTAAAAACAAAAGAAGAAAGGTTTTTTTAAGTACCTACTATAACAAATATTCTAAAAGTTTTTCTCGAAAAATGCATAGTTTTGCCGTGATTTGACTGTGAAGCCCTTTAATTTAGCGTTTGACGAACAAGTGCTAACTTTTAACAAGCCACAACTCGGTTCGTATTGGTCATACAGCAAGTATTAAAAAACCACTTTCTTTGTTTTTTTAAAAGCTACGATTTTGTCCTACATAGATTTTTTATAAAATGCATACTTTTCGAGTTTTTCACGAATAACCAATTTAAAAACATTGACCTTTTCTATCAAAAACTCATACTTTCGGTCGCGAATAACCGAAGAAGTAGGTATTAACTTTCTGAAAAAAATGTATGGAACACTTTTTGCTTAGAATTAATGTTTCCATCTATTCCTGTGTTAAAATTACAATAAAAAATTAACACCCAAGATGGGGTAACAACCACGTCCAGGGTGAAAGCGCCCTTTGGCATGATATAGATTTTGATCCTTAGGATATTTCCTATCTTCTGTCAAAATGTCAAGTTAATCGGTACATTTTGAAAAAATTGCGAGGGCAAAACCTTCATTTCCTGGACTATTTTGTTTCATAGTAGCTCTTCCACTCCTTCCATTCTTGTCTCCATTATTTTTTCCGTGTTTTTCTCTTCTTCTCTCCTCAATTCGCTCTCTTCACTCCTACCGTACCTCTGTCCCTAACTCAGTGCGGAACGATCAGAACAATCCACAAACTTCGATTTAAAACACAGACCCCTTGACGGGCGAGGTTCGGAAAAGTAAATTCAGTGGCAACTCTTGGCCAGTCAGCATTTTGATCTGTGAAGGGTATGAGGGTGCTCTTTGTGTAGGTACTTAAAAACAAAATAAAACGTGATGACTTCTTGCCAAAGTTATATGGACATTGGGTCATTATCGGAATCGCCCAAGGGTAATCGAATATGCGCTCCCTCACACGGAACTGCCAGAGAGTGCGAAAAGCCAAATGTACATCTAATATTAGAGTGTACTAATTTTTT